TCATTCAACTTTGCCATAAATGGTTTCTTGTCTTACCTTTCATGAGTTTATCAGACAGAAACCTCATTAGTCTTGCTGCTAAGCACGATTAAGTGTCTCGTTATGGCGGTTTTATCAAGTTCCCTGGGCTATGCTCGCTCGAAGTGTGCAGAGCAAACCTTTCCTTTCGTTTTAGCTTTGATGATTAAGTTTTGCAATCGGATAGACGACCATCTTCACGATCGTCACGAGCCCGCTCAAGGACCGCTCTGATACAACGTCTTTATAAAATCGCCTGATCTGGGTCTACGTGGTCTTCGACTTCTCGGCAGCGCCCCTGAATTCCGCTCGCGTGATCCCGGCTTACTCTCCGGGGAGTGGCCTTTGCACAACCTGATCAACCACACTGAATACATGCTCATCCCTACTGTGCTCCAAGGTACACCTGAAGTATTCGGAAATGTTTTCCTGTCATGCGTCAAAGGGGCATAAGAAACCACTCCGTTTCTCCTGGCCACCGGTCTGGGCTTTGTTTCTGGCGACTATTTTTCTTAGCGCTATCGAATTCAATTATTCTGGGCTTGTCATGCTTCTCAACAATTTTCCGAGCTATATAGTCTTCATTATCATTCTATGTCTTCACCCTTATACACTGTTTAATGAAATATGTATTCCACCCATAAATAAATTCATAGCAGCACATCGACTTCTATGTTCAGGCACATTCACTGCTGCATTGTTGGGAATGCTTGGAAAAAGCCAAAGTCGTCCAACCAGCTAAAACTTCTTTTGACACAGCTCACTGGCTATGAAGCTTACAAGGGTGTCCCTTTCCTCAAGATGACCAATGCGTATAGCTGCTAACGGTCGAGAGTTTGATCCTTTAACATCTATGTTTTCTCTGAAACGACCGAGGACATACAAACATCGCTCAGAACCTTGAAGTTCCGAAATCAACACGAGCACCTGGAAAATCGTTAGTCCTGTTCAAAGAGAGAATCAGTGCATTCGTTCTAGATACCCGGTCCGCAAAAAAATGGTCCCTGGCGGCATAAAACTTTCAAACTCCACCCACTGACAGACTCCTATTCCACTCGATAGAGATTTACATTATAACTGGGGTTAACAGTTGACATAAGAGCAGTAACAGATTCAATCACAAGTACCTACACATGCTCAGCAAGGATTGGAAGCCTTTACCAAAAGCTGCTCAACTTCCCATCCATAGTTTTGGGTATCCTCCTTATCCAGTGCACTGAATTCAATTGTGCACTCTTTTTGGAATATTAATTACTTTCAATGGACTTCCAGAACTTTTATTTTTATATTCATATGTCAAAACTCCAAGGCAATTTCGTCTGTCAAATCGTTCGTTGAGGCATTCCGAGCAGTCATTCTGGGTGTGGTAGGGGTGTCCCTTGACACGCACTACTTTCACCTTACACTGATTCATTTGTAATTGAAATGTGACGTTTTTACAGTAGATTTTCAAAAAGAAATTGAACCTCATAAAAAAGGTTCTTGCTCTGGATGAGTACTTGAATGTACTCCAAACTTCAAGGAATGCTTTTGTGCGAAGCGTATGCCCGCGAAGCAGACCCAGCCTAGTTTGCTGAATTTTCACCAGCAAAAACCTACCGATGCAACCTTCCCATGTCTCCCATCTGCACATTTTTTGTAAACAACTGATCGAATGAAAGGATTTATTATATTTGCATTGAGAGACAGTATGCATTGACGAAATGTACAGCAATAATGGTAAGATTATATTGAACCTTGCCTGCTGCCTCTCAATCGATGCTCTGCAAAAAATTACTTTCAGAAGGAAACGGGAGGCCTTCTGAGAACCTAAAAGCTAGTATGCCTTACATTGACTTGGGTTACACGGAGAAAGCCGCATCACAGCATTGCTCCCATTCCCATGGAGGAACTCATATCGTTGGAAGGTCCACCAAATGAAGTGTGTCCTTCTTGCGGTCTTACATGGGATCCGTGTGGATCTTTTTTACCCATGGCTTCTTCCATAGCGGTATCCAATATACTGAAGACCTGGAAAACACCAATCATTTTGAACATCTCCAACGAAACCCTGCTATACTCATGAACAGGTTCCTTACGATGGTTAAGTCATTCTTACCGATGGGTGCTCCGCCTTCAGCTTTTCCATGGCATCCATCATCTGAGCCATCGTCTGGTGCTCGTTCTTCAGTATTTTGGTGACATTTCTAAAGGCTACTGGTAAAGTGTCAATCAATTTGGACACATTCTTATTCATTTCTACAACGCCTTTGCCGATTTGACTGAAGAAACTTGTCACTTCCTTCTGAAATATATGGAATTTCGTGTAGGGTGAAGATTCTGTTGGCACTGGCATCATCACATACCGTAAGATTGTTTTCCTTTGCCCAGGCCCTGAGTTCCTTCTTCTGCTCAGTTATTGTCAACGTTTTGTTGAAGAGGATTTTGTAGTAGGCGTGTTGAGCCTCCCAGCTCACATTGTTATTGTTTAGGAATGGTGGATGGAACATTTCCATGAAATAGTAAGAGAGATGAGCTGCTGTGACAGCGAAGAAGCAGAATGAAATGAGAAGTCTCATTCTGAAAACCATTTCCCATAAGTGAAATACCTTTAAACATACAGGAAAAGCTTTTGAATCAGATTATTTCGAACGGTACTCAAAAGGAGGAGCTTCAGTGAGGTAAAAGCAGGAGCTTCTGGGTCATAACGGAAGTTTTTAAAAGGCTCCTTGGAAATCCCTTACAAAAGGTGCCGTTCCACCTGCCATTTTACTAATTGAAGTTCTTCAAACAAAGCTGTTTCCTCTGGCTGAATTTCTTTTGACGCCACGTTTATTAAAAATCGTATTTTGTGATAATTTTTACACCCTTCAGCTGCAGCCCTTCGAAGGAACTGAGTTCACAATTATCACTAAGCAAGAGTTAACAGAGAAATAATGAGGAAGATGAGTTCAATTAGTTTGCGACTCCAGTCTTTAGTGCTTGATTTATATATGTTTTCCAATTCCCATATGGGAAGCTGTTCCATGCATTTTCTCGCCATCAATCAGTATGAATGTAGTGCTGTCAATCAAAAATCTCATCGCACAATTATCACTTCGCAGTGCATGAAAATGAAGTTTTCTATTCCATGTGAACAAGATGGGCAGCGAATCCTTTAGATAGCGCTATTTATGTCAGCGGGAATGTTTCTTCTAATGAATTCACCTCCCCAGTACTTTCTGTAATCCGATGTATCCTCAAATCAAACACCCACGTGATTGAAGAGCTTCTTAAGGAGTAGGTCAGTAGGTCCTCGGCTCTTCCTCTCAACAACTACTACTCGAGTGGCCTTACAACTTCATGGAATGCTTCTGTGCGAAGCGTATGCCGGCGAAGCAGTCCCAGCCAAGTTTGCCAAATTTCTACCACAAATATCCTACCGGTGCAGGCTTCTCACCTGCACATTTTTTGGTAACAACTGATCGAATAAAAAGATTTATCATATTTGCATTGAGAGACAGTATGCACTTTCGAAATATACAGCAAGAATTGTAAGAGTATGTCGAACCTTGCCTGCTGCCTCTCAATCGAGGCTCTGCAAAAATACCTTTCAGAAAGAAACGGGAGGCTCTCCAAAACTTAGTGAGTCTTATACCTTACATTGACTTGGGGGCATGGAGAAAGCCGCATCACAGCATCGCTCTCATTTTCTTGAAGGGATTGGCACCACGGAAAGAACCATCCGGACCTGCTCCCATAATCAAGTGATCTTCGTGATCGAACGGTATGGGTCGATTAGTGTTTGGGCGACCACCGAAGGGACCACCAATCAATCTCCTTGCTTCGTGCGCTTCCAGAGTGAGTTCGTTTTGTTCATTTTCACCCATAACTTGTTCCATAGCAGAACCCAGCACAATGAAAACCTGAAAACATCAATTATCCCAAATATCTTTAATAAAATTCTGCTATCCTCATGGACAGGTGTCATACAGAGGGGCTATTCTTACCGTTGGGTGCTCAGCCTTCAAATTTTTTATGGCATCCATCATCTCGAGCATCGTCTGGTTCTCGTTCNAGATTTCCGAAAGCCACTGGTAAATCGTCAATCAATTTGGCTACTTTCTGATTCATTTCTACCACACCTTTGCCGATTCGGCTGAAGAAACTTTTCACTTCGCTCTGAAATAAACCAAATTTCAGGTGAAATGAAGGTTTTCTTAGCACTTGCACCTTCACATACCGTAAGGTTGTTTTCCTTTGCCCAGGCTTTGATTTCCTCCTTTTGCTCAGCCATCGTCAATTTTTTGTTGACAAAGATTTTATGGTAGTCAAGTCGGGCCTCCAAGCTCACATCCACCAGGAATGGTGGATGAACCATTTCCATCAAATAGAAGGAGAGATGGGCTGCTGTGACAGCAAAGAAGCAGAATGAAATGAGAAGTTTCATCCTGAAAACGATTATACGTAGGTGGGATCCTTTGAATCACAGAATAATGAAAACAGGTTGATCGGGAAGCCTCGAATTTCGCTTCCGAAAAGAGAAGTCCTCATGAGGAAACCACAGGAGCTGCTGTGCCGTCTCACCGTCAGCCGGCCTTATATCCCGTATTCTGGTGCTCATCTATAGCATTATAGGGTATTTCGGCTGAACATGTGCAAATATCCCATAACTCATCTGAATTTTCATTTTTGAGGCATGTCGTTTCACTTGCCGTTTCGCAAATTTGACACAACTTCCAGTTGCTCAAACAAAGTTCTTTTTTTCTGTTTGCATAGGTAGAGCTAAAGAGTAAACAGAAGTTTTCTGCTTGTGGAGTCTAAATGGTGCCTGCTTCGTGTTTTTCATTCTCTTTATGCCTTTGCCGTTATGGAGAATTTTCACGGGCACAAGCCTAACGAGCCTCGTAAGAGGTCACATAAGTTTTGATTTTATGCAGGATGGCTTTCAAAACGGCATAACACTGTTTACACACGTAAGACAGAAAGTTCCAGGATGTCGCTCATTTTCCGTTTACAGTCGGACTTGTAAGCAGCAAATGGAATGTGATTGCCTCTATCCGAAAAAGCAATGCTGTGAAAAAATCATGCTCACTCTAGAACACTTGAATGGGATTGTCAAATCTGAATGTAGGCCACGCCCACTTTCATGCCTTCTCTCCCGATGTTAGCTTTTGATATCTTTTTTGCTATTTCGCAGGACGTTTCTAGGAAGGAGTATAGATTTCCTGTCCTAGCTCCGCCACTTCGGTCCTGGTCAACCTATGATATCTGGAAGGTTGTGTTTTTGACCTTTATAATCCCTTTTGGCTTGATATTACTTATTTTAATCCAGATAATGCAGAATCCAGCTCATGTCATGGGAGTTCACAAATGATTTGGCTCAATAACTACTTATGGCATTTTGGCTGCGCAATTTTGTTCTGGCAACAGTCAGTTTGCCCCGTTTCCTATGGACGAAGTTCATCCTGCTACCCACCTTCAGTGTTTTCATGCTGTCGCATGTGTCCCTACCTAGCTTGAACGCTCTTGGTCCACGACAACACGAGCTATGAATTTTCGGTCAAACACACACATACACACACATACATACACACACAAACACACACACACATACACACACATACATACACACACACCGATCGACACACTTCGTGCGCAGCCAGTGCGCCATGAACGAAGTCTTGCTGAAGTCCTGTGCATCTAGGTAACTCGGTTCACTCCCACATAGGACCAATTAACAATTTTCGCTCACGCTTCACCCCCTCTTAGACGAAATCGAGTCTTACCCACCAGCCCCAAGTATTCCCGTCCTGCCGCCTGAAGTCCTACCGAAATTGTGCGCTCTATGTCCACGGTTAACGGAGTTATGGAATTCTGGTCGACACACACATACACACGCACACACACACATACGCACACAACGCACATACAAACAAACAGACACACTTGAAGACACACCAACAGACACGTTGGAGAAAGAATAGGTCACACGACTTCCTGTGTTTTTGATAATGCCTCCCCTCCCATAACACGTGGTCCTCGAAATAATTGCTTTCCCTGTTTGTCATCTACAAATAGAGCCAACTGTAAAGCTTGGTTGTTGTCGTCCATTCGTTGCCTAGATCATTTTTCAAGAAGCTCACATTTTTCCTTCGTCAGAGGAAAGAAAGTAGTAAGTAAAAGAGTAAGTGAATAGGCTTGCCGTAAGGTCCTATGGCTCCTCTGTTATCGGGCATATTTTATCTACAGAACCTTGTCAAACCCTTTCTCTTTATTTATGCCTCCTCTGAGCCGGAATGGGCTTCCGGCGAATCTTTTAGTAAGTGCCATTATCGCTGTAGTCAGCGACAAGTATTCGACAAGGAAGGTAACTTATCCATTGGACAGTCGGCTTCTATTAAATTTCAAACCATCACCGTTACTTCGAAATTTTGGATGAAGTCGGCGGGTTAGCAGATGGGTCATCTCACATTTTTTTAAATGTAACATTTTTGGTTTACTAGTGACTCTACTTGATAGCACACTATTCTACCTTTCAAGATGCTTCACCAACTGTAGTGGAATTCGTTTGTTTGAGGGTGGCCCAGAAACGATATTTGTGGAAAGGACTTTTGTAGAGTAGTTTGAATAGTTTAAACGGAGTTTTTTAGGAAAGGAAGAGTGTGAACAGAAATAATGAGAACACGTGGGCTGTGAGTTGTACCGAAAATAAGAGTAGGTTCTGGGGAATGGGAGGGATAAGGCAGCACG